CTCCTTAGGATTATTGAAAACTTGACTATTGTATCATTTGTTGAATTTGACACTAAATTTACCAGAATAATAAATGTTACATTTTAGCGGTTTTAATACAATTGTAAAAATTTGAACCCGTACTCTTCCTTTGAATTATACAAAACTTGGCAACAGTACCATTTGCCATTTGATGAATATTGCTAATTTGTACAACATAATTATATATGTTCAGTTTAAACAAAATAATTGTTATATTTAAATTTTAAACCTTGTTTGATTCTCATTTTTTTAAAAATATATTTTCTCACTTCTTTTTAACCACACATTTTTCAATAAAATACATGCAAATTCAAAATTTTTCCTTATTTTTAACTATACATTGTTCATCAAATCACTATTCCAAAATGCATTTTTTTGCAAAAAATGGACATCAAATGTGGCTCTTAATATTTTATTGCTGCCAACGGTCAACGACCGCCTATGCTGAGTCACAATCCTGGATTCGCCACTATGCAAAGATTACTCCCTTTTTCTTGAAGCGATTTTCCTTATGTTTTTATGAACGACTTCCTCTAGTTTTTGGTTTGAAGAACTGCTCCGAAAATCCTCTTTGTTTGTTGTAGTAGCTATTTTCATTCCTCCCATGTTTGGTTGCTGGCCTTGCTATTTTTCAATAAAAAAAAATTGCCTGAAAAATCATGTCTTGCGGGTGACTTTTTGGAAGTGTTACAACATGGTTAACATATTGTTTCCCACGACACCAATTTGTTAACCCCAAAAAATGCGTCAATAGAATTCTGGTCACGTCTCCTCCATGTGGACATTACCTGCACATTGAACAACCCGTTAAAAGGCAAATGTCGTCGGTAAAGAAAAAAAAAGATCAAACGATCGTTTGCACTCCGAACGTCAAGTCAACAGCCGGACGAAAGAAATTTGATATGAGTGGAAGAGACATGAAAAGGGATTTGGATAGGATTATAATGAACTCACCTTACTGTGAATGAAACTCATATATATATATAGAAAAATGTAAATCGGCCGTTGGTTAATGGATTGATACCAGGCCAAATATGAAGTTGTTTAATTAAATAACTCAATCAATTAAATAATTGATACCACGTCGGCATATATGGAATCCTTCCGTCACGTGCATGCCACGTAATTTATAGATGTAACAAACACAATCGACATTTGAACTCTCGTAATCGACTAATGGATCCTACTTAAATAATTAGTCAAGAAACTTTATCAACCAATTCCCATCAATTACTATAGAGAGGCAATATTTTATCTAATACGTAGTGAAACTATGAAAATGTTCTTTATGTTTATAGCTTGTTTCTCTAGTATACTGAATCTCGTTTCAACATTTTGTTGAATTTTTTGAAAACCTCTTGTAACAATCAAAATAAAATACTCATTTTGCTATTCCTTTCTCCATGTCGCTATTGAGAGTAGTTCGGGGAACTCTTGTGAGCAATAAAGAGAAGAAGGAGATACCGCTCATATTTGAGGATTAAAATCAGATTTTTAGTAGATTTTGATAAAAATTAATGAAATGTGTGGTTAAAATTAATAGTTGACTTTGACTTAAATTAAAATCTAAATTTTAATTCTTACCAAACAGGGACACAAATTGAGAAATAAACGCAACATAGGAAATGGACTCTGAAGAAAAAGAGAGGACATTATAAAGAATATGATGTGATCCATAATACAATGGCAAGTTCGGGCAATGATCTATTGATCGTTGAGGAAGAGTCTATGACTAGATCGCGAGCGAAGTATGTCAAAGAAGCAACGAGACTACTTGTTCAAGCCACGGTGAACGAAACATTGATCAGCCAAACAAATGGACAAGTTTCATATTGTGCATGGGAAATGAAACGAAGTGGAGTGACTTGATTCAAGCAATGGATGAAGAGGCCGGAAGGAACAACTATGCGACCGCATAGTTCTTCGACCTCATGCCCCTTTACCGAAACCAAAGAGGAGGATTTCAGTTGGTCTATGCGACCGCATATATTTGCACTATGTGGCCGCGTCGTATATTTCTGGAAGCGAATTTTTCAAATTTTGCGCAATCTTCTAATTTAGTTAAAACTTTATTTTGTGATATCTTTTGTTATTTTTAAGGCTTAATTCCGTTTTTAAGTAGATTTTATGGGTTCCATATAAATATGACTCATTTCATTCATTGTAAAACACACAATTTGAAAGATATAATTGTGAGGCATATTGCTTTTTTCTCGTTCTTCATTGAATTAATTTTAAACTTATCAAGAACAAAATTCTTGTGGTGTTCTACAATTTAAGTAAGGTTCATAAGTTTCGTGATCACGAGGTGAAGATATTATTAGCGACTGTCTTTGTTCTTTGATTCAAAAATTTATTGGGTCGAGTTTTTCAAATATTAACTTTCTTAGTTTTGTTCTAATTTGTCGTGAATACCGTAATTACTATTGATACGTGGATTTCGTATCAGAATATGTTAGAAGCAAGGTGAGAACTTGAAGTCGAGATTTAGGATGAAAATGACGAACAAAATGAGAGTGATGCTTTTAGATTCTATCTAACAAAAATAGTAAAATGAGTCGTGAGACAATTTTTCAATTTTGTCTTGTAGATGACCACCACCAAAATGATTGGAGGAGGGCACACCCAACAATTATCTCTATGGACAACGCTACATTGACTAACCTGATAATTACTGCCAAGTGCCAACGGTTTATAAGAGGGTAAATTTGTCTGCAGAATTGAATTACGAGAAAAAGTTCAAATGGGTCACTGAACTTTAATCAGTCTCAATGTTTTCACTTTAGGTTTCAAATTTCACCATTACATTGCTTGCCTACTCTAAATTGATAGAACTGCTTTATTTATAGTCATTCAGCAAGGAATCATCCACGTAATCACTGCACAGTATATCGATTCGACACATAATCACGTCATAAAAGTGTTAAAATAAAAATATGCATTAAACATCGTAATCCCAAAGCAATATGATACCCTCATGTTATAATTTTCATTACACATACAAACTATACATAATATCAATTATGATATACTATAAACTAAGCATTTTTTCTCAATTTGAGGGATTATATGTGACTAAATATGATAAAATGGTAAAATTTGAAAGTAAATTGAAATTCAATTTATTCAAATGAAATAAATTGAAGTTAGTGGCCTAATTAATATTTATCTGAAAGTTCAGTGACCGAGGATGGGATTTACTCCTTTTTTTAGCTTTAGAACAAGGCAAAAGCCGAGATATATAGATACATCCAAGCGCATGCGCACACACCTCCATAAAATTCCTGCTACGTTGGCTTTCATTTTGGAGTCTTATGATCTTTCGTTGGAGTATTTCGACCACCCGTTTTGATGTATCGAATCTCTGTTTCATCGCTTTTCGCTGAGGTAAAGAAGATTCCTCTCCTTTTTCCTGCACTCTGTTGGCGATTATTGGTGGTATGCTTTTGGTTTATTTACGTGGATTTCTTTTTATTAGTATACGGGATTCGATGGTATTGGATTATTAAAAATTTAATTTACGTTGTCTTGGCAATTTAATGAATTAATGTAAGGAATAGACTAACTGTCATGATGAAGTTTTCGTTTGGTTTTGATTTCTGGAATGTTTTAGTTGGATGGATTTGGTTGAGATTTGGATATATTTTTCTATTTATGACAGAATTATTTGGAGATATGCCAATTTACAATTTATTTTTATTTATAATGGATCTGGATTCTGCATTGGGCTAATATGACTATAGAAACGTGTGAAGAAAGATTGGGAATTTAAAGATATTATGCGATTGAGATTTGAAATGAAACATAATCTTTCATGATGATTTCACATTTGGTGATAAATCTGGTAATCGCATTAGCAGAATGTTCATAGAACTTTTGTTTTTTGAGGTACTCCAGTACTTACAATCTGCACGGTTTTTATTTTCCTTGTGAGAAATATGTATGCTTAACTTTTGAAAGTAAGAAAGGATATGTAAACAATCAATTGCATTATATATCCTTGTTATTTCCACCAACTTTGGGCAGCAAATCATGAGATTTTAATATGCTAGCTGAATATTTTTGTTCTTCTTAGCCTTCTTCTGGATGTTAAATCAAAAATTGGATTAATGTCTGTTGTAAGATCTTATAAATTTTCCGTCCTGTTCAATGTACTTATTGATTCACCCCGTATGCAAAATATTTTATGTTTAAGAAATTTGAAATTTGATTAAAAACTGAAACTGTGGTATATGATATCTTGGACCTGCTAGATTTGATTATTCAAAGGATTCAATGTGATGTCTGTCATATTGCAATTTTAGGAATGATAAAAACATGCCGAACTAGTTTTAAATCTGGTTGCGTTAAGTGCTATCCTACAGCACTCTTCACATGACAGCGATCCATATTGGATGCTAAATATGTGGAGCAATTGAGGATCACATAACAAGTGAGAGAACCAAGGTTACACGACTCTTCGATATTTTAGAATGCAATAAAATTATTACTAGACATCATGGCATGACTCTACATGAGTGCGTTACTATATTTGTGCTGTGTGTAAAGTTAGTGATATTTCACTTTTATGGAGTCCTTTACGCAACTACCTAAATTTATAAATTTCCCCTCAGTGATGTGTTATGTTAGTTGAAACTAGGCAGATGAGTTGATTTTATTTAAATTGTCTTCTTAAGGGTTTTTATTTATTATTATTGTTATTTTTTTTGATATAATTCCACTAATCTTATGTTACAATATCAATATTTTCTTCTCCTGTTATTTTGGTTATCATTTAAATATTTATGTTTTCTTTTTATTGATTGAATCGCACTTTCAGGTGTGAGCTCCTTGATCCATAATCTAGCAATCATGCCAGGGGCTAGGTGAGCTTTCTTTTTCCTGCATAAACCCAAAGTAAAGAATATTCAGAAGCAGATGAAGGATCTTTATCTTGCACAAGTTTTTTAGGTGAAGGCGTAAAGATTAACAAGAGGAGGATGGAAGTTTGCCAGTCCCTTAATTCTACTAGAGGATCAAAGCACTTCCCTTTGACTCCTTTCCGTATTTTTAGGGGTCTAATATGTTTTTCTGTTTTTCTTTCAACTGCACTTATGTTCTTAGTGTATTTTGTACCTCTGGCTGCTGTAGTTCTGCGGCTTTTCAGTGTTCATTACAGTAGAAAATCAGTATGCTTTCTATTTGGTCTTTGGCTTGGTTTGTGGCCATTCTTATTCGAAAAGATAAACAAAACTAGAGTGATCTTTTGTGGCGAGAGAGTTCCAGCAAAAGAACGTGTCTTACTCATAGCCAACCACAGAACGGAGGTTGATTGGATGTATTTGTGGGATCTAGCATTGCGGAAAGGGTGCTTGGGCTACATTAAATATGTCCTCAAGAGCAGTTTAATGAAATTGCCAATCTTTGGCTGGGGATTTCGCATATTGGAGTTCATCCCAGTGGAGAGAAAATGGGAACTTGATCAGTCAGTAATGCGTCGAATGCTCTCAACCTATAGCGATCATCACGATCCCCTGTGGCTTGCTGTTTTTCCTGAAGGAACTGATTATGCGTAATGACATCATTCCTTTGTCTTCCTCACTATAACTGTTTATACATCTTTCTCCTGGACAGTAGGAAATGAATTTATTCTATTTTCTTTCTATGCAGTTCTTGTTGGTTTTGAAAATTATTATTACTCATTACACCTAATTAGCTAATCGGTGCTACAGATATTATAATAGTGAAAAGAATTGCCAAACTTTAAAATAACTGCATCAATTAAGGTGTTTCTCATGTTCACTAAAACTGCAATGCATATGTTTTGGAGCATTATCATTAGTCTGTAAACATTCTGCACACGGATTATACAATACAGTTCTCTTGCTTTTGTCAACAGCGAACAGAAGTGTAAAAGAAGTCAAAAGTATGCTGCTGAAAATGGATTGCCAGTGCTGAAGAATGTGCTGCTTCCTAAGACACGGGGTTTCTATGCTTGCTTGGAAACCCTGAGGAACTCCTTGGATGCAGGTCCTTCCTTCTTCATAATTGTTGTCAGTAATTTAAAGCATATGTTCTGGTTGGATATTAATATGGAGCACGTTCTGTTATAAGACCATCGTTTCATTCTGGGTATGGCCATATGATCTCAGAATGACCCTTTACTAAAGTATTCTGCTAAGGGTAAAATCCTGCCTACTTATTATATCTGTCATTCTTAATGTTACTACTCTCTTCTTTTATCTTTGTTCCTTCGCTGTTCTTTTTCTTTCTTTCAGAGGGGTTGTGATTTTGGAATTCATCTGGTTTGTTAAGGTCATGCATTCCAGTTTGCTTACAAAAATGCGACCTTTCAAATCTTTTCTTTTTAACTAAGATTCACTGTTTTCTCTATTCTTCAATGTCTAAATTGTAGTGCAATTAGTGTTCTGCCTATTGAAGTTCCCCATATTTGTATGATCATTATGCCCCTGTTTGGTCCTGATACTAATAAGATTTTTATCAAAATCCGATACTTTGAAATGCAATTTTTAATTCAAATTCCCCATTTCAAAGTATCAGATGTGGATAAAAATGTAATCAGTATCAGGACCAAATAGGGGATCTCATAAATATAACTTTGAAAGGATTCAAAGCTGAGAAATTTCACTGTCATTTATATCTGGCAATTATATTTTTATAAATAAGCCAATCTGTTTTTCATTATAATAAAGAATAAGCATTAGACCTTGGCGAACCAAACTTCTGTGTCGATGAAAAAACTAGTATGAATAATATTATTCATCTCTCCTGGCTCTTAATATCTGTTTGAGAGCTCATCCCTGAATGATCTCTTTTGTTGCTGGTATTAACCTTATTTTCCCTCTGAAAATCTGCAGTTTTTTAGTGATCGTTAAGTAGGCAAAAAACTATGCTCGAGTATTCTCAAATAAGAATTAAGTTATTCTTGGACCAGACAATCCGCAGCTTGTTTTTTTAACTTCTCAATACTGTCATCTGTCTCTCTGTTATCACTCTCTCACCCACATCCATACACTTTTCCTCTCCCATATCACCATGCCTCTCTCTCTCTCCCTCTCTCTCTCTCTCATGCACATCGAGCATGCATCTTAAATGTCAATCTACTAGTAATTAACTGTAAGAACAGAGAAACGGTATAATACTTCTAAACAGAATGGATATGGAGATGACTACATCTAGCATGCTTCAAGTCATCATGTTCATTGATCCACGTGTTCCACGCACGAGATCTTTGTCTCAGAGAAAAATGTTACCAGGGGAAGAAATATGCTATCTCCTTCTCTGCGTTTGTGTGCGTGTGTACTATTTTTTATGAAGTTCAAAGCCAAATCCCACAAAGAGACCGTGTGTGGTGTAATTTTTTGAGCATTAGTTTAAATATAATTATTCCTTTAGCAACTTTATTTGACTCAAGGCAGCAGTTAAGATACATGGGAAACCTGAGCTATTCCTTTAATAGGAGATAAAACAATAAAAAATACTTGAAAGTACAAGAAAAAGCACCATTTATGAGCTGGCTTTAGTGCGTGGTGGCTGTAGGATAGAAGGTGGGGGGGGGGGGGGGGGGGGTGTGCACACACAATGTTTGGATTCTGTGTAGAGATTATCTTATGCTGGCATTAAGTCCCATTGCTTACTTCGGCCTCTACATTCNNNNAAGGGCTTTCGGGTACGTTTTTTCTTTCTATTGTCCCCCTACAGACAATAACCTTTGTTTCTTAAAAGAGAACACTAGTTATTGCTGCTACCATAATATATCATTTTCTCTTTAGTTTGTCTGCCTCACTATCGTAAGTGGTTTTTACTATACCTCATCAATGGTCTCCAGCCCCATATCCTGCCATCTGCTGTTTATGGCTAATTCTCCAGCTTTCATATTGCTTTGGATCCGACAGCCTTTATTTAACACCGATGATTTATTTTAACATTATGGAATACTAGTGGCAGGTTTATGTCACCTTGTTTCTCTTTTCTTTTTACTTCATTGTCTATATATTTAAAGAATGATGTTATTCAACGGCATTGCCAATCATAGGCAGTCTATGTGGCAATCCACGTTCTACTTCTTGTAATTACCTGAAACAAAAAGATGTCTCTATTTCAATGGTAGATAATCCTTGAAGTTGTTCCTAATATACACTCATTGAAACACTTTAATGGCAGTTTATGATGTTACTATTGCATACAAGAATCAATGTCCTACTTTCTTGGACAACCTTTTTGGTGTGGATCCTTCCGAAGTACACATGCACATCAGACGTATCCCTCTTAAGGAAATCCCAGCATCTGAAAACGAGGCTGCTGATTGGTTGATGAATACATTCCTGTTCAAGGATCAGCTGCTCTCTGATTTCATAACTGATGGTCAGTTTCCTCGTCAAGGAACAGAAGGTGAACTTTCAACTTTGAAATGTTTGGTTAATTGTGGGGTGGTGATTGCTCTTACTGGATTGTTCATATTTCTTACCATTTGTTCATCCATTTGGTTTAAAGTGTACATAGGTTTAGCTTGCATTTACCTTGCTTCTGCTTCTTATTTCGATATCAGACCCTCTCCAGTTCTTGGTACTATTAAAGAAATGTTGCAGAGGAAAAATTTGTAGAATACATTTTTATCTTAAACAAAATAAGGTGGTTGTAAAAGATTTTTGGGTGCAAGTTCTTGCTTATTAACTCTGGCAAAATGATTTGTATTTACTTTGCCACTGCAGATTTTTTTATACTTGTGAAATTTAAATTGCTATTTTCCATTTGCACACTAAGAAATAGACTCTTTGCATGATCATATTAATGCATCAAATCACAAACCGTCATATGTATGTCACGTAGAACGACTACCGATAATTTTCATTACGAATAACATTACTCATAAAACACTGTCTATAAAAAAATTTATTAAAGATTTATTAAATTTTAACGAAGATTTATATATATCTAACTCAAATTTACGGAGAACATGGTTAGAACGATTATTCGTTCATTTAAAAGAATACCTAATGAGATCAAAGAAATAAACAACAAAATCATTTGAATAAATCAAGAAATTATGAAGTTATAAATAGGCAGCTCCTACTCTTATCTACAAACACAAATATCTGATTCATCCATCGAAGATGCTAATGGCAAGTTTGATAAAACTCTGCGTTCTGCTAATAATGGCCCAATTCTTTTCAAGGAGTTGAATTATTTCAGCTACATTGTTTATCCTACAAAACAGTTGCAGTAAAACAATCTGGCCAGGGACACTCTTCGGCAACGGTGTAGCAGTTCTTGGAGGCAGCGGGTTTGCATTAGCCCCTGGTGAATCCATGCAGTTTCCTGCCCCCACCCGGCTGATTCGGCCGCTTCTGGGCCAGAACGGCTACAGCTTTGACACCAGAGGCGATGGCAATTGCGCCACAGGGAATTGTGGCGACGGATTGAAATGCACCGGATGTGGGATACCGTCAGCAAGCCTGGTCAAATTCACCCTGGAAAATGGCAATGCAGAGAAAGATTTTTACGACGTCAGCCTCGTAGACGACTATAATCTCCCACTCAGCGTGCGGCCATTCGACAGCTCTGGTGACTGCCAATACGCTGGTTGCGTGGCAGACCTGAACAAAACTTGCCCCACGAAGCTGCAAGTTATTGTTTCCGACGAAGTAGTGACATACGACAGTGCATGCGCCGCCTTTAACACATCGAAATATTGTTGCACCGACGATCACTCAACGCCCACAACTTGCCCGCCGACTAAGTACACTCTTGTTCAAGAATTCTCGCCCTTCTACATATAGTTATGCATATGACGATCAATCAAGCACACACGTGTGTCAGAGCAAATTATTTTATCTCATTTTGCTGTTCAACCTAATATTTTCAATAGAAAATGCCATGTGCACACTCAGAAGTGTACATCATGCTTTACCCGAGATTTGTTTTTAAAAAATTGTCAAGAAAAAAATATTATTTTTCTAAATTGTCAAATGATAGTTTACCATGAGACAAACGGTCAAACTTGGTGTACCCTATATCAAAGAACAAGAGTTGTATCAAATGAACCCTAAATCAATTTGTTTAAGAGAAAAATTACCAGGTTTTACAGCAAAATCGCATTCTTGAAACAACTCGAGCATCACCTTACAAGTTCAAAACATTATTCAAAAGGCTCATGCACACTATATAGGGGAAAGATGCATATATATTTCGAACAAGAGATAATAACTGTACAGTACAGATAATAAATAAGTACTAACATAGTCAGCTTCTCGATTTCTAATTAAATACGATGTAAAGCTTCAGATGGTCGAATGATCATTTAGGCATACGACTATACATTTTAAAGGACACTCCATTAGTTAGCACACATTCAACCAAAGCTCGGCCGAGAAGGTCTTCATAGAGTCAACTGGTTTGCATATAACTATATAATTACAGCTACCAAGAAGCGAGAACCTCTATAGACTTGGACACTGGCCTATAGAACTAGAAGGATAAACACCAGAGTTTATATATTACATATGCGACTGGAGCAGAAAGTGGCAACCAGAAATCACAGTTTGTTAGAGTCAGGAACCGATATGCAGCGACTTCTCATAATCTGCTGAATGTCATTTGCAAACAGTTTTCAGTCTCTTTGCAGACTGTACAAACCCGGCAATGACTTGCAACTCATCCAATTGCTACATAAACAGAAGACAATGCTTCCAATCAATAATAAGACTGCAATTATAAATATACATCATATAATGGTACATCTCGAGAATCATCTGGTTCTTGATCAACGACATATATATGGTTTGTGTCAGATAGAAAAGCCAAAAACAAGAAAAAAAGGAAGCAGGTCAACGAATACCTGAGATAGGAAATGCCTCTGAACAACATCTATGAGTTGCTCCTTGGACGGGTTAGGAATGGCATCCACCTGAGGAAAATTTCAGAGCATTAAGCGCTGGAACTAAAGTTGCTTTGATCAAACCTAAAAAGGGTTAAAACCACCACTGGACCTTGAACTTTTAGCGAAATTTTATGTTAGTCGCTAAATTTAATTTGTACCAAGTTGGTTGTTGAACTTGAACATTATAACAATTTCATCATAAGTGAAACTAACGGACTTTGGACTGAGTGGCCAAATTGTAACAAAATTTTAGTTTTAAGACATATTTAGAACAAAATGAAGTTTAGCAACCAACATGAAATTTTACTGAAAGTTCTCATTGACCACCTGTGTATTCAACCCAACATAAAAACATAAATAAATTTCCTTGTCATAAAAACCCACTTACAAGGTTAAAGTGCCGCAAATATCTCCACAATGCAGCAATCTCAAGTTTGCCAAGGTCAATTTTCTGCACAGGAGTGTTTTAAAGTAAATTTGTACGCATTGTCATAACCTTAATTATTATTTTTTTCTTTTTCAAGAAAAAACAACAATGATAATGCTAAAAAACTAAAAGTTTAAAGCTTTACTCACCGTGGACCCCCTTGGAGTAGAAACAGAATGCGAGTCACTGGAGAGAGAGCGTCTAAGAGTCTTGTGAGAGGACCCATTCGGCCTGTGCATTCGATGCCTTGATCTATGAGACTTTTGAGTTTCATCGGATGCTAGAAAAACAGAATACACAGCACAAATTACATTTTCTGGTGGGCCTAAAGAACAAGAATAAAGTAATGCAACAGCAGAGCTTGCTGGAAACAAAGAAATACAAACATAAAGAATCCTATGTAACAACCTCAAAAACCTTTCCACCATAAATAGAATTGAAATAACTAGAATCCATAAGAAAAGTAAGAAAATTTTCGTTTATCTTTCACTAAAGCTATTGAAGTATAAGGCACAGGTTGGCATTTATGTTGAAGTTTCACTAGTTTCCTACTTAATAGAAATACGAGGGATCGTCTTTTCTGTATTAGAGAAGAGAAGTGTGAAAAAAGAAAGCACGGTACTCTCCTTCATTAATGTAAAAATCAGCAGCAACAAGTAGACATAGATTCACATTGAGAATGAACAACAATAAATCTTTGTGTTTTGTGTGTGCTTTTCTGTTTCTCGTTTTGTTTATTAGTGCTCTCAAGATTGAGACTAGAGCTTAATCCTAGCAATTTCTGGGCCATGGCCACATGTCAAGGACACTGCTAAACTTATGTCCGTTGTTTCACAACAAAATTCAAGTGGAGTGGGGTGGGGGAGGGGGGGTGGTCTAAATATATATAGATTCAGGAAACAGAGAAAATAATACATGTCAAAATTTGTTCTCTGGTTTCAAACAATTGTACATGTGCTTATCTTTTAGAATAAAATTATTACTTTTACTTGTCCAGCAAGAGGCAAAACTTTGAACTCACCCATATCAGAGCAATTCCACTGCACATTTTCAAATTCAATGTCATCATCCTCCTCGTTCCCAGTAGGAGCTTCAATTACACTTAATGCGTTCCTTTGTAGTTTTACCTCTATGCCGTTGGTAAGAACCTGCATTTTATAGAAACCAAATTTTACAATCAAATAATAGAATAAATTCATTTACCCCTTTTGCATGTTCTTGTATATTTTATCATTTGTAGGTACCTATAGATGAGTATACCCTATTCAATATTCTACTTCTCGGCACCAACAATTTCAATGCGAGTTATGAAATTATAAATAAGCATTACAAGGAAGAAAAATTTTCTGCCGAAGGCAATAATAAGCAACTCATTTTGCTAACTTAAAATCAAACTCAGATGAACTTTCAAGGAAAATTAATCAGTTGAGTCCAATTATAACCTAGAAAATTTTGTATTGGCAGTCTGTGATGAGATCGAAGTTATATAGGAAAGAATTGGAAATAAATGAACATCAACTATCTTTAATTCCAACTCCTAGTTATAAATAATGAAACACCAATCAATTATCCCACCACCAACCCTTAAAATAATTTTAAAATTCAACCAAGCAAACATAGAAACCCCATTTTTTTGTGGAATTAAATATTAAATTATGAATGAAAGAAGTCAATATCAATGAAGCTGTAATGAAAGAAACCCTAATTTCCAATTAATTATAAAAAAAGTCTTCAAAATGATCTATGATAACAGCAGATCCATTCACAAAAACCCACATGCAACAAACTCCATTATGAAATACCCAAATTTAGAACAGCAGCAGCAATCAGAAGATAAAATTCTGAACAAAATTCAATCTAAAAAGGTATCTCTGGCTTCATAATTTTGAATGAAAAGTAAACTAGCATTTCAAAAGTACAAAATTTTTTTGGACAAAATCCTATCTCAAATTCACACACAAAACCGGAATTTATTACCATAAAAATTCAAGAAACACAAAAATTACACAATTCCACTCGATGTTTACAAAGACAAAATAAAACATAAATTTACTATATTATCTCACATTTCTTCAAATAAAGAAACCCACATTACAAACCCCAACTTCAAATTCATTTATCCAAAAAAGACTCAAACTTTTGCTAGAATTTACCAGCCAATGCCATCCACCAAGCCCAACAGCTTTCTTCACCACACCTTGAAGCCCCACTAACACAGACTTGGTGCGGTTATTTCCAGTCACCACCACCTTAGTATGGCGTGGCAGCACAGAAAGCTCCTCCTCACTGCTCTCACCACAGCTCTGAAACTGTGAAGAGAGTGAAGAAAATCCTCCATTGTGTACAGTACTCTCCACTGCAGCTTCCAGCATTTCCAAAAAAAACCCACAAAAACAACCAAATTTCCTACCTCAGGCTTTAAATTTAGGCCTGATCGGAAGATCCTGCATTGGTGAGTATAAAAATGAAGTCTTCAAGTTAAAAGGGTGTTGGAAATTGGAGATGAAATTTGGGTTTTTAAGACAGAGAAAACACAGATTGTAGAGAGAGGAAAGGAAGTGTGTGTTTTGTACAAACTACTAAGAAACTTTATTATTGTTTGTCTATGGATCCCAAAGACTTGAAATAAACCAATTATAAGCTGCCACGTATTGGAACGGCTCGTCGTGCAATACAACTAGTAGGGTAAGTTGTGTAGTGTTGACCGTTTGACTCATTTGTCAAATGACTAAATTGCCCCGGAACCTCTTTTGAAGATAATAATTTCTTTCCCCGGGTAAAATTAATTTTGGTTTTACACCCCAATTTGTAAATAATTAGGCAATATTTTTTTGTTAATTACTTAATTAAGAATAAGGTTATCCTCATAGGTATTTTCCTCAATAATTATAGGATCTCTCTATCAAAATTGTTGTTTGATGTAATGAAATTCTTGACGTGTTTCTTTACAGTTGATTTTCTTTTCTTTTCGACTATCTAAAAATTTAAATATAGTAGATTAACAACAAAGCATGGATACAATTTTTCAATCGTCATCTCACATAAAGTGTTTACCATGGCCTTTTCGCCTCTAGAAGCTCTTTTCCTTTTCAATATATTCTTAAAATAATATTTAAAGTTCTCGACGAATTAAGCTCATATTTGATACTTCTTATCTTTAAAATACATTTTTCTCTCACTTCTTTTCGACTACACATTTTTAATAAAATAACATTATACTCAAATTTAAAACTTTTTCTTATTTTTTAACTACACATTTTCATCAATCTACTATTTCAAAATGTATTTTTACAATGAAATGTAACTCAAACATTTCTAATAATAGTAATTAGCATATAATACTCTGTACATTTCATTGTTATTGTGAAAAATATCATTATCTTTTATTTTTTGACATTTTCATATTTATTTCCACATTTCATTGCGCGAAATGTTATTTTTCATCCATTTTCTCAATTAAAAATTGTAAAATGACAAATATACAATTCTCTTTAAATAAAACAAAAGAAAAAAATTAATTAAAATTATAATCCAAATTTTAAAAAAAATAAATGAATTCCAAATAAATTATTAAAAATGTAATTAGCACATAATGTCCATACCTTTCACTATTATTGTAAAAAAAGAGAATTTTTTTTTTTTTTTTTGTATTTTCACCTTAATTGCACATTTGATTACGCAAACCACCATTTCTATCCATTTACATCCAATTTTTCAATAAAAAGTCTTGAAATGATAAATATACTCTCCTTTTGAAATAAAAAAAAGCTAAAAAAATTAATTGCAACCATAGTCCCATTTTTTTAAACAGTGAAAATGAGTCTCCAATAAAATATTAAAAAATTATATTTAAAAAAAATAAAAACGAGTCTCAAATTAATTATTAAAGAATTAAAAATTAAAAAAATATATTTTTAATTAAATATGATGGTACGTTTATTATTTCATAGTTTTTTATTGAGAAATTGAATGAAAATGATGGTTTGAACAATCAAATGTGTAATTAATGATGAAAATACAAAAAAATAAAATAAAATAGGGACACTTTTCGCAATAACGGTAAAAGGTAGGGCTATGATTGCAATTGATTTTTTTTTTTTTTTCTGTTTCTTTTATGTAAAGAGAATGGTATATTTGTCATTTTACAATTTTTAATTAAGAAAATAGATAAAAATGACATTTTACACAATAAAATGTAAAAATAAGATTGAAAATGCAAAAACAAAAATGAAAGATAAGGACATTATGTTCTAATTAACCTTTCTAACAACAAAGAAAGAATACTGAAATGAAAAAAGAAATATAAAATGAAAAGGGTGTTTTGGTAAGTTCAAAGACGGCGAGGGGAGGTTACAGAAAATTAATGGAGTGGGGTCTACCGCTCTCTATTTGCCGTCGGTGTTGGACCCACTGACCCACATGTCTCTGTCTCATTTTATACAGACAATTTTCTGTATCTATATTGTTTTTATTACTATACCTATATCTAATTATCTCTCTATAATTCTATAAGCAGAAATGATCTAATGAGACTCGGGCCAAGCCTCATTTTTTTTTTGGTCGGGCACGGCTCGGCCTAAAAAATGCTCGGTCAAAAAAAGCTCGGGCTCGGCTCGAGCTTTTTATTTTTTCGGCTCGACTCGTTGAAATCGCTAGATCGAAATGGATGGTTCGATAGATAGATGCGTTGATTAGTTAAAATTTAAAACTGAAAATTGACATGATTAATAGGTTGTTAGTGTCAAATAGAAAAGAGGATTTGGCCAATTTATTTTTTAAAAAAAAAAAAGATAAAATTTTTAAAAGATATACTATGTTCTTCTTAAAGTAAATTTAAATGTGTGTTACGAACATTCTATTGTCGGCTTCTATACGTGTCGTCAGTATTATTTGTAGTAAATTGGGTTATATTTACATTGTCTTCACCCTAGTAACATATTGCATTACAAGGGGTTTTATTGTAATTCAAGTCAAAAATGAAATTATTGTCCGTACTTCATTAAAATGTGTGCCCAATTTGACAAGTGGAGGTAGGAGCTTCATTGGCCACCTCAATTTTGTAACGACGATTATTTAGGAGAGTATATTTTGCCATTTTGAAAGTAATAATGTATTTTTGCTGTTGATGTGATGGAAAATATGTGGCTAAAAATGAGTAAAAGATTGATAGTGAAAAAAATAATATGGATCAAACAAGACCTTTGTATAGTGAATTTTTTAATTAGGGTCTGTTCGGTAGAGATTAAAATCAGATTAAAATTGACAAAATAGCCGTTATTGTTGACTTTTATTAGACGAGTGAGACCCAATAACTGCCATATTTTCAATTTTAATTGGATTTTAATCCCTATCGAATGGGGCCTAAGTATGGTTAAAAATTTAAATTAAAATTTATGTGTAAAATTGTTTTTTGAGAGAGTATATGATTGAAAATGAATTTTAACAAATGGGAATTTATAAATAATGTGGAGCAAGGAATTAATTTTAATTATTTATATCACACGAAATCACAAGAAGTCGTTGTAGTATAGTGGTGAGTATTCCCGCCTGTCACGCGGGTGACCCGGGTTCGATCCCCGGCAACGGCGATTTTAAATTTTTTTCCCTTTTTATGGGGGTTTCATCGCTACCATGTTCCAGCATATAAAAATTGAAGAACCATCAAACCATAAATGACGAACTAAACCTTTTATTCTCATTTAACTTGAATTTCAGAAAATTGATACAACAAACAAATATGAAAAGTGAAAAATTCAAAACCCCATTTGAAGAATTGTATATGAACCCACAAATTGCATACAAAATATGAAGAGAAAGTGCAATGCTATTCCATTTTATACGACCAAAATCCAAGAATTGTTACAACAAAAACAAATTCTAGGTAAACTTGAATTTCAGTAAATTGTTACAACGAGCAAACCTAAAAAATGAAAAAAAAAAATTTAAACCCCAGGTGAAGAATTGCACATAAAGTGCAGTGCTGTTGCTCATTGTCCCAAAAATTGTAATGCTATTCCTCTTTATACAAAAGCAAATCACCTAAAATCCATCTGTATTCTCAGTTAACTCAGATTTAGGATATTGTTACAACAAACAAACGAGAAAGTTGAATATTGTAAAATTCCAGTTCAAGAATTTGCAGCATCATTCTAGTTCTGCCTATGAGCAATGTAATCAGCCAAAGCAATCAATGGAGCCGCCTTGTCCGAATCAAACTCAGCTAATTGCTCTTTAGCATCCTCATTCAATTTCCCAGCAAATTCCCTGGCCTGATCCAATCCCAACAATTTCGGATAAGTTGCCTTATCCGCCACCAAATCTTTTCCTGCAGTTTTTCCCAATTCTTCTGAGGATTTCGTCACATCCAATATATCATCAACAACTTGGAACAACAACCCAATTTTCCTTGCAAATTTTCTTAATTTTTCGACTTGTTCATCAGTTCCACCCCCGAGAATTGCCCCCAAAACAACTGATGCCTCTAATAAAGCAGCAGTTTTGTGAATGTGAATGAATTCTAATTGAGGCAATCCCATATTTGTATTGTTACCAGTACAGCTTAAATCCACAACTTGCCCTGCCACCAATCCTTCCGTGCCAATGGCCTTGGCCAACTCTCCCACGGCCGCCAGAACCCGATTCGGTGGGACCCTATTGGCGGCAGTGACGATAAACTCGAAGGCGAAAGCCAACAAGGAATCGCCGGCAAGAACCGCCACATCCTCGCCGAATACTTTATGGTTAGTGGGCTTTCCACGGCGAAGATCATCGTTATCCATACAGGGCAAATCATCGTGAATAAGTGACATAGTATGGATCATTTCCACCGCGCAGGCAGCAGGTATGGCGGCGGACTTGTGGCCTCCCACCAGCTCACAGGCGGCGATACATAACATCGGGCGCACCCTCTTACCACCTGCCAACAAAGAATACCGCATTGCTTCGTGGATCTTTGGTGGGTTCTTTACCGAAACAGCTTCATCCAATGCCTTGTTCACATAATTGGCCTTTTCATTCATATATTCCTTGAAATTGAAGGTGGGTGGTTCCTTCTGGGTCTCAATTGTTTCTTCTTCTTTGGTGATGATGGCTGACACAATGAATGAAGAAATGGACCTCCTGTGTTTGAGCGAATTTTGTTCGAATTTGGGATTCTTGATTACAGGATTGTAGATAAGGCCAATGAAATTGAAGGATTTATATGAGGATGGACGGTTGAAAATTGAGCAAGTTTGAACACATGAATCCATAAGATTCATAGATCTCATCTTCTTGATCTCTGGGATACAAAGGGAAAAAGGAGACAGATCTAAAGATCAAAGTAACTGTCTCGAAAAGATTAGTTCAATAACTTTTAAAGGTTCGAATCTGA